AGAAGACCTTTGAGTTGAGATTTCAAGGCAGAAGGCGTTGTTCAGGGAGGCCCTCCTCGGAGGCAGTGGGGCCCTGCTCAGCAGGTGTGTGCCCATGCGGCTGTCTGTGCCCAGGGAAACTACTGGATGGCTTCCGTAGGGAGGGGTACGTAGTGCTCAGAACCCACCGAGCTGCCCCCTGCCCACCCCTCTCCCCCTGGACTCTGTCCATGTCCTCCCCAGCGCCATCCTGAACATCCCCTATTCCCCAAGGCTGGACAGTAGGGAGCCACAGAAGTATTGGGAGGGAGGCTGGAAAACACAAAGCAGGGCCCCAGGGAAGGACCTCGAGGGGTGTGGAACCGACCAGCCTTTATTTTGAGGATAAGGCAGAGATGCTGTTTTTTGTTGTTGTTGATGTTGTTGTTGTTGTTGTTTAATTTGGTTGGTTGGTTGGTTTTTTCGTTGGTGATGCCTGGATTTATTTTTATTGTTGTTGTTGTTTTGGTTTGGTTTGGTTTTGGGGTACTGGGGAAGGAACCCACAGCCTCATACATGCTAGACAAGCCCTCTACCACCGAGCTATATCTCCAGTCCAGTGTTGGGATTTTTAGGCACTTTTTAACTTGATGTGTAATGATACAATTTAATGCTTTCTTCTTAAGCCCATAGTTGGATGGATTTTGGCAAATGCGCTACCACCCTCCACGGGTGTAGAGAGTTGCATGGCTCACACTTGGCGTCTTCCAAGTTAGCGTTTGAAAAGTTCTTCTGGTCACTCCTGGAGCTCTACTTTCTTCGCTGAGGACTGGAGTTTTTGTTTTGTGATACTGGGGACTGAATGCAGGGCCCCTCTACCAACCAAGCTACACCCCCACATCCTTTTTTAAATTTTTGGACAAGGTCTTGCTAAGTTGCTGAAACTCATCTCAAACTTGCGATCCTCCTGCCTCAGCCTCCCAAGTGACCGGGATCATAGGCGTGCGCTACCACGCCTGACGGCGAGGCACTCTTCAAGCTGTGGAAGACGGATGAGGCACCCTCTGGGGCAGGGGGTGTTCTCTTCGTGGGGGTGGGAGGACAAAAGTGATCCATGGCACTCAGGACCAGCTTCAGGGTCGTAAACCTGAGCAGCCACATAGGTCCCCAAGCTTGGCTCCAAGTCCCGCAGTTCCACGCTGAAATGTATCAAGGTTGTTTTTTTGAGTAAGGGGTCCTGTGTTTATTTGGTGCTGGGACCCGTGGACAAGGAGGCCAGGCCTGGTGGTACAAAAGTTGTCAGGGGCCATGAGAGAGAGAGATGGAGGGTTTCATAGAAAAGAGCCCGTAGGGAAGAGAGAAGCCCGGTCAAGAGAGAAGGTTGAGGAAGGACCTGTCCACCCAAAGTTCTCTTTTTAGGGATACACGCAGGGTGGTGGGGACCTTCCTGTCACTCTACCTCTGGCACCGGCAAATGTCCCTGGGCTCAATTAATTACAATGACTAACAAACACATGTGACAAGCCAAATATCAGCTCGCGAGAACAGAGTAAGTATTGAGTACAGATACAGATAATTTGCCGCAAGCTTGCTGGTGTTATTATCTTCTAATCAACTCTAAAAAAATCATATCAAAACTTAATCCAGAGCAAAACAAGACAAAAAGAGAGTGAGCCCTCTGTCGGGCCTAGGAAGCGAGGTGGTGGGGTGGATTTCCATCAGTGCTGATGACTGATTTCATCAGGGCTTCCCTTTGCTGACGTCAAAACCAAGATCAGGGCCTGGGTCTCCATCTCTCCCTGCTGAGGCCAGACGTCCGATGGGAAGAGCTAGGCAGCAGGCTCCAGGGAGGCCCGGTGGCGGGGGAGGGAGGAGCGAAGCTGGCATTCCCTTGGAAAAATCCATCGCTGGCATTCTCAGGCCGGCCTCTTTCCTGTCTCTGGAGTTTGGAGGGAAGAGAAGGTGAATTGAAAGGAATCCAACTGTCTGTTGGCCACGGCTGCTTCTTCCTGAAAGGGATTCTGGAGTTGGCAGTTCAGTTCGAAAACCCCCACATAGAAATACCTGGGCTGCGATGACCTTGCCAGCAAACACTTCCAAAGCCAGGGACTCTGGACAGCAGCGTTTTCCTGACCCTGGATGCTTTCTGTACAGGTATCTGAAAAACTTGGTCCTGAAGTTTCTCTTCTTTGGGTCTAAGTGAGGTGGCTCGGGTGGTTTGGTGCTTTGTTGCCTTCGGTGGCCTTGAAGGACTCCTGGTGAACCACACGGGAGCCTCGGTGGCTTCCTGGAGCTCACTTTCCTTACAGGCTCCAGATCAAACCTGCTGGGGACCCTCTCCAGCCACCATGATGATCACATCTGCCATTACCCTGTCCCACTGACCTACGCACTCTGTGCCTAGAGCTTTGCCTTCAGTATCTTATTTAAGCCTCCTGATTGGATACTGGGTGGTCTCTACCTGCGGAGTGTACCATTTCCCCACCCCCACCCCATGCACGGCCACTGACCTCACTGGTCCAAGCCCAGTACTCAGGGGCACTCAGCCACTGAGCCACACCCCCAGCCCTCCTTGGTATTTTATTTAGAGACAGAGTCTCACTGAGTTGCCTAGGGCCTCGCTTTTGCTGAGGCTGGCTTTGAACTCCTGATCCTCCTGCCTCGGCCTCCCGAGCTGATGGAATTACAATTGTGTGCTACCGTGCCCAGCTCTGGACTATTTTCCACACAGCAGGCTGAATAAGGCTTTTGATACTTAAATCAGCTGAGGACCATACTTCCAAGGGCTCCCCATCTGGCTACAAGGAAACTCCAAAATCCTCACTGTGGCCCACGGGATTAGCTCCTTTTACTTTGGGCCACTGTTCCTCTAGTCCAGTCACACTGGTCTCCTTGCTGTACCACAGATCCAGCACAATGTCCTGATTCAGGGCCGTGGCACTACCTGTTCCTCTTCCCCCAGGTATCCACGTGCCTTGTCCCTCGGTCTGTTCAAATGTGACCTCCCTAGAGGATCTTCTGCGGCCCACACCATTTAGAATCCGGTCCTCCAGAGTCAGCTGCCGTGGTGCACACTAGTAAATCCCAGGGACTGAGGCCAAAGCAGGAGGATCACAAATTTGGAGGCCAGCCTCAACCACTCAGCAAGACCCTGTCTCTAACTGTATCAATAAGTAAATAGGGCTGGGGATGGGGCTCAGTGGGAAAGTGGGTTCAGTTTACCCCTGGGTTCAATCCTCAGTACCAAGTAAATAAATAAAAATAAAAGTAGGTCCTTCCCTCAGCCCTCTTGTTCTCGCTGTTCTCAGAGACCTCCGCCATTTAACTATCTTGCAATTATTTGTGATGGTTACTGTTCATCTCTCTTCACAAGGTCAGGGGTTCAGATCTGTCCTGGTCAGCACGGAGAACAGTCCTTGGCATATCATAGGTGTACAATAAATGTTTCCTGAATGCATGAACCAACCACCAGGTATGTACTACAACAGGTCGTTCGTTCGGAAGGGCCGGGTACCTTTCTCAAGGTGAGATAAACGGCACACAACTGGGACTTCAACCCAGGTCCCAAGGAAATTCAATGACGGTTTGGAGACGGTAAATGTCATGGTTTAGCTATGAGGTGTCCCCCAGAAGCTCAGGCGTGAGATAACGCAAGAAGGTTTAGAGGAGGAAGGGTTGGGTTCTGAGAGTCTTAACCCAATCAGTAAATCAGTCCCCTGATGGGGTCAACTGCGTGGGGCTGAGGGCAGGTGAGGTGTGGCTGGAGGCGGTGGGCGCTGGGGACGTGGCTGGGGGATCTATAGTTTGTATCTGACGAATAGAGTCAGTCTCTCTCCCCCTCTCCCTCTCCCTCTCCCCCCATCTCCCTACCTCCTGCACATCATGGGAGCTGCTTCTCTCGGCCACACTCTTCCGCCATGATGCTCTGCCTCCTGGAGGTAAGCGCTGAGGAATGGAGCCGGCTGTCTACGGGCTGAGACCTCTGAAACCCCGAGCCCCCAAATAAGCTCTTCTCTCTCGCCAATGGTTCTGGCCAGATCTTTCAGCAATGAAAACAGTAAGTTGAGCCCACCTTAAAAAGTGCTGATTGTTCCCGGCTCTCATTCAACAAAAGCCCACGTCAGAACCCGGCTCACCTGGTCTGACCTGGACCGGGTCAGGATTGATGCTCATTGTGCCAGGATTAGTCACAACGGTTGGATTTCCGCAAGGGCAACAGACAGAGAAACCTCCGTGAGAAATCCTGAAGGAATCACTTGATTAGTGAATTTTGGATAACCGTTCCCCAAAGTGCTCACGTCACATAGAAATATGTGGAATATTCTAAAAGAAGTGAAATCTTAGGAGATGATTTTTTTGAAATCATCATCTATATAAGTAAATTACATAACAACCACCTGCATCTGTATATGAACTCACTGCCTAAACTCAGGGGACAAAATAGAGGCACTCCAAGAAGGATCTTCCCAACTTGTGGAATGTCCTCTTGGTCAGGAGTTCAGACTTCTGGGGTTTCAAAAGTAAATTCCGAACTAGGATGTAGCTCAGCGGTAGAGCGCTTGCCTCGCACGCACAAGGCCCTGGAGTCCATCCCCAGCACATAAAATTACCTGTTGTTTCGCTCCTACATTTTTACCCCAAAGAATTGAAAGCAGGTGTTCAAACAAAAATAATGTGTTCAGGAATATTCATAGAAGCATTATTCATAATATCTAAAAGATAAAAACATCCAACACTTTCACCACCTGATGAATGAATAAACAATCTGCGGGTGTTCCCACACCTTAGAATATTATTCAGTCATAAAATAGAATGAAGCACTGACAGGTGCTACAACATGAGATTTTTTTTATTTGTTTGGGTTTTTGTTGTTGTTGTTTGTTTGCTTGCTTTGTTTTGTTTTTTGAACCCAGGGGCACTCGACCACTGAGCCCCATCCCCAGCCCTATTTTGTAGTTTATTTAGAGACAGGGTCTCACTGAGTTGCCTAGGGCTTTGCTTTTGCTGAGGCTGGTTTGAATTCATGATCCTCCTGCCTCAACCTCCTGAGCTGCTGGGGTTACGGGCGTGTGCCACTACACCCGGCCTGTGCGACAACATGGATGAACCTTGAAGACATTACACTCAGTAAAAGAAAACAGTGGTAAGAGGTGACGCCTAAGAGATTCCATTTACATGTAGACATGTCTGCAATAGGCAAACCCATACAGATGGAAAGCAGATTAGTGATTTCCAGGGGCTACAGGAAGAAAGGACTGAAGAGTAACTAGTTAATTGGTATAAGGTTTCCATTTGGGGCAACTGAGAATGTTCCGGAATGTTCTGGAGACAGTGGTTTAGCATTGTCAACATACTCAATACCAGGGAAACATACGCTTTACAATGGTACATTTTATGTTTTGTGTATTATCTCCAAATGTTTAAAAGAAAAAAAATTAAAGTTAATCATTAAACTCTGGCCTTGGCAACAGGATGTTTTGGTTTGGTAGGTAGTTAGCTAAGTATTAAGTCCCTTTGTGGCAACTGTTGATTAGAAAGAGCAATAATGGATCACTGAGGCTGTGTAACAGACATGCATCTGTGGCTAGATGGGATTTTCGGCGCCATGGAGTTGAGTCCTGATCTTTAATATCCAAAAAAAATGGTGTTGTGTCTAGCGCAGTGCTAGCTGGCTAAACCGAAAAGCTAATTTATTTTCCATTACCTACGTCATTGTAATAACAACAAAAAGGTATCAACAACAACAGAAAAACACCATAACAACAAAAAGATCTAAATATAGAAGGGAAATCTTCCCAATTATCTGTATAGTTCCTTCCCTTGGGTTTAGCTACCACCATCTACAACCTGGTGTATACCCTGTGAGACCTTTCTCTATTCATGTACAAACCTCTACATATGAATGTGCCCATCACAAATGAAGTTTTTGTTATTGCTTTTTTACAAAAATGAACTCATACTATATATATGTCTACAACTTGCTTTTTCCCTCTCAATACCATATCAAAAAATCTTTCCATCTGAATACCCACAGCCTTATCTCTTTTCTTAATGTCTACAAAACATGGATAGATCGCCATTGGTTTAACCAGCCCCTTCTTGACAGATAATTATATTCCTTCCAAGTTTTCTCCATCATAAACCAGGCTACAAGGAACGCCCTGTTCATATATTGTTGCATGATCGTGGGAATTTTTCTGCGGCAGAGATTCCTAGAAGTGAGATTGTTGGGTTGAAATGAAATTCCTTCTGTTCTGTGACTTTTTAGTAGCGAATCAGTTGGGGACACAAACGTATATTGCCTCTGGGCTCAGGACAAAACAGCCAGAACTCAGAGCTTGCGATGGGGCTTTGCTTAGCTCGGCACCCCCCTAGCCCCAGCCCCCCAGCAACCTGCAACTGTAGCTATTTTCATTCATTTTATAGGCTCAGTGTCTCCAGATTGACTCCGGCAGAGGGAAAAGAAATCAGGTCCCTTCTGTGTCATTCTTCAAACATTTAGAGGAAATTGATTTTCCACATGGGCTCTAGCCAAGGGAGGGATGCGCGGGCCCAGAAGTCGCTGCTACAGGCTATGACTACCGGCACTTGCCACAATGAGACTCAACCCAACTTGAGATATTTTATTAGCAAGTGTAATTCCTCATCAGGCTAATATTGCAAATTGCCAAAAGCAGCAGCAATTCTAAAATAGGATTTCCTTCCTAATCCCTTTTAAAGGGAAGACCTTGTGGAGCCTGGAAATGTCTGAAGAAAGAAAGACTTTATTCTCTAAGCAAGGATAAAAGGCAGTGGGTCCAGGAAGCTGAGGCTTGCTTGCCTTACTCTCTGCGATGACCTCTCCTTTTTCTCTCTACAGTCTGGGGATTAAACCCAAGTCCTTGAGCATGCCAGGCAAGTGCTCTACCACTGAGTCATGTTCCCAGTCCCCTCCTCTTATGTTGTTGGTATTTTTTTTCTTTTTCCTTTTGTGTCCTGGGGATTGAAGGCAGGGCCTCGCTCATGGGCACTAAGCTATATCTCAGCCCTTTTTATTTTTTATTTTGAGAGAAGCTCTGGGTAAATTGCCCAGACTGGCCTCAAACTTACAATCCTCCCACTTCAGCCTCCCAAGGTGCTGGGATTATAGGCACAGCCACCACAGCCAGCTGCTCTTATCTTTTTAGTGTGTTTCCTTGTGACATCAGTTAGGATGCTTTTACCTGCAAAGAACAGAAATGCAGTCTCAAAGTGGCTTCTACAGGGCCAGGGTTGTGGCTCTGTGGTACCATGTTAAAAAAAATAAATAAATAAAATAAAGGTATTGTGTCCAACTACAACTAGGAAAAGAAAAAAATATGTCTCTTTCTAAAAAAAACCAAAAAGTGGCTTCAATAATGATAATGTCATGGAAGCCTAAAGGTGAGGCACATTTAGGGCTGGTTGACTCAAGAGCTCTACACAAGAATTGGGAATCCAGGGTCTTTTCCAAAATAGTTAACATAACTCACTGGCTCCAGAGCCAGATCCTTTGATATTAAATCTCAAGTCCACTGCTTTAGCTGTGTAACTTTGGCCAAATTACTTGCCTTCTCTGAGTCTCCATTTCTCATCTATCAAAAACAGGATCATAACAGTACACAACTTGCAGGTTTGTGAATGCCAAAGCAAAGGTGAGCAAACTTTCTTCATTAAGAGCCAGATAGTAAATATTTGAGGCTTTGGGGGCCATGTGTTCTCTGCCCCACAGCTTCACCTTGCCTTTAACAGTATGAAAGCAGTCATGGGCAGTAGGTAAATGAAAGAGCATGGCTGTATTCCAATAAAACTTTATTTTAGACATTGGAAGTTGATTTTCATACAGATTTTCCTATATCATGAAACATTATTCTTTTGATTTTTATTCAAGCATTTAAAAATGGATAAACATTCTGAGTTCATGGGCCACGAAAGCTGGGAGGGCCATGGTCCCGACTAAAGCAAAAGCAAAGGATCCCAGCCTAAGATGGTTCAACTTACCTATTTTTGTTATGGTTGTTTTTTTATTCTTATTTGGACTTATGATTTTTTTAACCTGCTGATGGTGTGAAAGTATACCCATATCACCTTTCTGGTTTTTACTTTCAGTATTCAATTAACGACAGGAGCTATTCCGCCCTTAATTATAAAACAGACTTGGTGGGAGATGGCTTTGCCCAGCTGTAGACTAATTTAAGCATTCCACGGGTGTTTAAGACAGGCTGGTCTAAGCTATGCTCTTTGGTAGGTTGGGGTATCAAATGCATTTTCAAGTCATCAATATGTTTTTTTAATTTTCAATTTTTTTTAGTTGTAGATGGACACAATACCTTTATTTTATTTATTCGTTTTGTTTTTTTATATATATATGGTGCTGAGTATCGAACCCAGTGCCTCATGCGTGCTAGGCAAGCACTCCACCACTGAGCCACAACCCCAGGCCTCAAGTCATCGATATCTTTAATGCACGATGGGTGTATCTGAGGAGCATCTGTAATACACTTGGAAGAGTCAGTACCTAGCAAGCCTAAATAAATGTTCAACAGATGCTTGTTGCTATTATTGTTATGATTAATACCATCTCCTTCCTCCTCTCTGCTTTTCCGCTCTTCGTTTAGGCTTCTTCCCTGATCTGGCAGCAAGGGGGCTGCAGCACTCTAAGGAACTACATTCAGAGCAAGAAGTCGCACCACCTCTTTCAGGGACACTTGATTTGCACCCTGGAGTTCTTCCCCATCTGTCCGACATGCCCCGCGCGTCTCATTGGCCAGAACAAGCCACATGACCTCTGATTAACCAATCACAAGAAGGGGCGGGATCACCCATGGACCAATAGAGACCCGCCGCTGGGGCTCAGCGAGCTGGTTGCCTGGAGTCCCAGAGTGAACCCGGACTGAGCCAAACGGCTGCCCACGTGCGGGTTCTGTTGGAAGGGAAGCTGGGACACGCATCTGCGGGGCGGGTCGTGCCCACTCTGTCAGGTGCTCTTGAATTCGTCTCAGGCAGGTCTGCTAATCCAGAGTCTGTGTCGTCTTATAATGAGAGCAAGCCGCGAAGCCTCGGGCTGGAGCACCTGGACCCTGCTGCCCCTCGGTCAACCTCGTGACGGTCCTTGGAGGGTGAGGACATCTTTACATCACTTCCGGCCTTCACTGGACTTTCACAGTTGCTGAGACGAGAAGCGGCTGGTCCAAGGGCACATAGTGGAGCCCCTGAACCTCGAAGTCTGACCTCCACCCACCTCCTGGTTGCATTGGAAGCCACCGTGGCTGCAGCTGCACCCTGGGAAGAGTCGGTGGCCCAGAAGGTGGAGGTGAAAGGACAACCACGAAGATGCTGCCCAGAGTAAACACCCAAAGCCTTCGAACCTGTGCTGTGGATGAAAACATCTAGGCACGTTCACGATTTGCATTGGAATATCCACAGTGTTCACATACAGTCGTGTACTCCACCTTGAGGCTGGGTCCACCAGGGACCAGATGACACTCTAGTCCATAGAGTCCAGCAGCCACGTAGTAGGCTACACCATCAACGTTTGTTGAAGAACAGTGTTTGGCGTCCACACAGTGACTGTCACTTAACCATACGTTTCTCAGAACATATGCCCGTCATTAAGTGACATGAAATCTCAAGAACGATAAAATAATAGCAATAATTATTCTGATGAAATACAGATGTGCCTTTCATTCTGATGAAAGAGAAACTTAACTGCCCACGAATCTCTTGATATTTAAGTCGTGGTAGTATGGGTGTCTCTGCATTTAATGCCTTTTTTTTTTTTTTTTTTTGGCCTTCCTGACTTGCGAGATGAGAAAAGGGGATTCCCAAACTAAAGAAATTTGGTTGAGTAAACTGGGTGTACTCATGGGAGAAAATATTAAGCAACCATTAGCTTCACCGCTTATGAAGAATTTTTAGTACCATGAGAATACTCTTAGAAATAATGCCAAGGGATAAAAGGAGAATGGATGATTATATACAAAGATCATTCCAACGCTGTGCTTAGAGAGGATGGGAAGAAAGATTGCCAGTAAGAGACCAAAATGCTGTGTTGTTGCCTCTGGATAGTGAGGTCAGAAGGGATCCCCCTCCCTATACTTTTTGGGCTTTCTACAATACTCATTTTTATAATCAAAGCAAAACACAAGATAAAAGCCAGGGAGAAATTGGGGAATGTTGCAAGCCATAGAGTCCATTAGCCACATAGTAGGCTACACCGTCGACATTTGTTGAAGAATAGTTTTTGCAAGCCAGGGTTTTGTTTTGTTTTTAGACATTGATGGACCTTTATTTTATTCATTTATTTACCTGTGGTGCTGAGTATCGAACCCAGGGCCTCAAACATGCTAGGCAAGTGCTCTACCACTGAGCCACCACCCTAGCCCATCAGGGTTTCTTATTAAAAAGACAGATTCTGGCATTAAAGGACTAAGTGACGCAAATTTGTGCTGTTTGCAAAGCGAAAGGGTGGAAACTCCACCTCCTCCTGCCTGAGTAGCATCAGTATAGTTGACAAGGAGCAACTGGACAGGTCCTTTGGAGTTGTACTGAGAAACTCATAGGCTTTGAGCAAAATTAACCACTCTGGCCTTCAGTTTCTTCATCTGTTACATGAGGATGATAATGCCTACTACACAGAGTAGAAATTCTTTCAATCAGGTGACAGTATCTACTGTTCTAGGGGCTGGGGATGCAATAGTGATCAAGAAACAAGATCCTTGTTCTCTGGAGCTTTTCACTCTGGTAGAAGGGTTAAGGTTTGGAGTTGGTTGTTCAGTGGAGGAACAAGTGCAAAGGCCCTGGGGCAGACAAAGGTGAGGCATGTACACTGGAAAGGGGTCTTATGGGGCTGGAACCCAGTGAGTAGGTGGAGAGTGGAAGCAGGTCAGGAGGGGCGGGCAGGGCCAGGCCTTGCATGCCAGGGCAAGACTCTTTGATTTCATTCTAACTATAGTGCAAAACCACTTAAGGGGTTTCAGCTACAGACTAGCATGATCTGATTTAGAGTTTATGTCTTAAAAAGGCCACTCTGGCTGCCGTGCAGAGAATGGATTGTAGAATTGTGTGAGACGATCAATACACAAAAGCACTTAACACTGAGGCCGGCACAAAGTAAGTATCTTAATAAGTGGTTACTGCTTTTCATTATTATTCTCATTATCCTTATTATTATTACCACTCTTTTGTCTGCCTGAAGCTGGTTCACAGTTCTTAGACATATGGCTTCCTGTGATGTTGACAAAGCATTCCAATGAGCCAGTGAATTTTCCAAATTTGTTCTCCAGGTATTTTCACATCCTCAGAGAGGTGATGGGGAAAAGCCAAACCCAAGCTGCCTGCAGCCAAAATGAACAGTGGGCACATTCCTGAATCCAGCACTATTTAATTCTTCAGGGGTGAGCTCAAAGAGGACTGTGGGTCTTGATTAAAGGTTTCAGTCTCCACCAAAGTACAGGGCCTGTTGTGAAATCCAGCATATTTGTACATATTTAAAAATACCTCTCCTCCTGCCAACCCCTCCTTCCCCAAGACTCGGCTCCGAGAGGACTTTCTCTGGAAAGCCTCTCACTACCCTGTCCAGGCCACAGCCCACCCTAAGACTGGGTTCTTCTCCCTGTGTTCCTAGGCCCTGGGCAGAGTCATAGCACAACACCCGAGTTCCTAGGGCTGACATTCAGTGCAGTAGCACTCGTCCTGTGTGGCAATTTGAATCTGTACTGAAATTAATGCAGATGTGACACATGCTCGCCACACTTTGAGTCCTCAGTAGCCACCAGTGGGTATCATGGTGGGCGGCACAGATCTGTGCTATTTGTCATTACAGAACCTTCTATGGGACAGGGCTGCCCTAGCAGGGCGGAAGCATGTTCTTTCTTAGTTTGGGACTCGCACGGGGCTGAAGAGACAGCCTTGAGAAGCAGGCGGATCCCAGTTCGAATCCCAGCTGCTGATCTTACGAGCTGTGTGACTTAGCCACGTTCAACTTCTCTGTTCCTGTCTTACTCTGTGGGGTCTTGAGGGCCATTTAAGTTAATGCATACAAAGGGCTTCAGAGAAGCAAGGGTAACACACAGCACCATGCAGGAGTTGGCTTCTGTCATCTGCCTGCCCTTGGAAAGCAGCCAGCGCACAGTAGGCCCTGTTAAATGTTTGCTGTTGCCTGAGCAAATGAATGAAAGAATGATTGGCGCACAGACTTTATTCTTGGCTCTAGTGAAAAAGCAGAATACTTCTTTTGAAACCAAATATGATTGCTATTAACACTAGCTCCCCCTCACTCAGCACTTCCTGGGTACCAGGTGCTGTGCCCAGTGTGGTGTGCACCTCTTCCCAGGGAGGCACCCAAGGGCTTCCTATTCCCAAGCCCCCTTTCACAGATGAGAAACTGAGGCTCAGAGACATGAAGCCATTGCTTTTAGGTCATGAGTGACTGTGTTTACTCTTCTAGCAATGATTTTTTTTAAATACATTTTTTAAAATTGTTGATGGATCTTTATTTTATTTATTTATATGTGGTGCTGAAAAATCGGACCCAGTGCCTCACATGTGTATCAGGGATTGAACCCAGGGTGCTTAACCACTGAGCCACACCCTCATCCCTTGTATATGTTTTATTTAGAGACAGGGTCTCCTGAGTTGCTTAGGGCCTGGCTAAATTGCTGAGGCTGGCCTTGAACTCCGATCCGCCTGCCTCAGCCTCCGGAGCTGCTGGGATGACAGGCTTGCACCCCCGTGCCAGGCTCTAGAAGTGACCTGAGCCTCCTGGCTCTCTCTGGATCTTCTCTCTTGGAGGAGGAGGCTGGGGGCACTGCAGGCAGGGGCTGTGGTGGGCGACCCTCAGGAAGGGCCATTGTGATCATCCACCTGCAGGCAGGGAGCAGCCTTCTCAGCTTTCTTTCCTGTGCACAGAAAGGCTTTTGACCCCGACTTCTCTTCTCGGATTCTTTTCTCCCCGCCTGCGTCCCCAGGGCACTGGCCCCTCTCGCGTGCCCGCCCCTCCCCACCTCCCCACGCGCCACAGAGCCATGGCGAGGCCCCAGACAAGGGCGCTTTTCTTCAAAGTGGTTCCCCTTCATCTCGTAAATTCTCAGGCCCGGCTTGATTGGCGGCGGGGAAAGGGAGCCATGCCTCCCGCTCGGCTCCCCAGATACAAAGTGAGTTGTGTGCAGCCTGCCCACGTGAGGTCGGTCACAGGGGCCGGGCCTCTCAGAAATCCCAAAGGACCAAATACCAGAGCGCTGGCCACAGGATCCAAATTATCTATGGCAAGACAGAGGAAAGAGCGGGACCGAGACAATGGAGAGGCCCTGTGAGCAGATCATTTCTAACCTGAGGTCTGCAGGGACATTTAACTCCTTCCCCCCAGATCTGGTGGCTTCTAGCTGCGCAGTCTGTAGCTTGAAGGGTCCCAGATCCAACCAGTCCCGCCAGTTCCTTTTGCCACTTTCAAGAACCTGCGTTTCTCATGCAGCATGATTCCAATGTTTCCCATTTTTAGGCACCAAAATTAGTCCAACTGTGCCTTCTAATTCTGTAGACACAACCCAGCTTGTGCAAATGTCCCTCTCTTCCATTTCTGGGTGGATTTTTGCATATTACAGACTGCCAACTCTGTCGAATGTTCTTAGGGAAAGATAGAAGTTTAAAAATCATCTAGCTGCTTACCATGAAACAAATGCTGTGGGGCCCAAAGTTCTGATTTAGAGCAAACGCTGCATATGGCACCCTCCTGGAAAGAAAGCCACCAGCCGCGAGCAGGAATTTATTGAGCATGTACTATGGACCACAGTGTTTCCCAGGCTGCTCTCTGTTTAACAGAGCTTATTCTCATAGCAACCCCTTCATATTCCTCAGTTTACAGATGAGGAGACTCAGGTTCTCACAAGATTAAATAACAGCTAAAAATGGGCTAAAGTCAGTTTTGAATAGTCCCTCTAAGTGCAAAGGCCCAAACCTCCACATTTACTAAGTGGGAGTCCATATTGTTATTATCGTAAGTACAATGTAACATCTGCAAAAAAAGGAAAAATGCTGTCATCTCTAAGTATAAATTCAGAAAACAAAACTGCATGTAGTCTGTGCTACATTTTAGAAAGATATATCGATGATAGAGAGAAAGGAGGAAAATACTAGAACCATCTTTGCCCAGAGATTGGGTGATTTTTCACTCTCTGCTCCCTTTCCAAATGCTCTCTCTTGCCTTCCAAGTGTTCGTCATGTACCTTTTGCTATTAAGAAAGAAGCGAGCATATGTACGTGTGGTGTGTTTGTGGTGCCCGTGTTGTGAATGCACGTGTGTTGTGCGTGGTAGGTATTGCGTGTTGTGTCAGTCGTGGGTGTGTGTTTTGTATGTGACATGTACGTGGTGTGTGTGTTGTGTCTGCGGTGTGTGAGGCTGTGTGCTCTAAAAGTCAGTGGGAATAGAGAATCTGGTAAACAAGGCCCAACGCCATTGGAATCCCAGTTATTTAAACCTTGCCCAAAATTGCATTGGGGGAGTTCAAAGTCATCCCAGGCCCTGCTGAATCAGAAGCCTTCTGCCCCCTACTCCACATGCAGCCAAGTGACCGTGCCAGGAGAAAGCCCTTAGACAATGCCCAGGAGGGTGTGCTCACAGGGCTCAGGGGAGTGGGAAAGCTCACCTCACAGAGATAAAGGTCTCCTTCCTGCCCGGCCCTCCCTGCCTCTTCCGCCTGCTGCTCACACTTGGCCC